TTTTTTTTTTTTTTTTTTTTTTTTTTTTTTTTTGGCCCTAAGAGTCTGCTTATTTAGAAACCACACAAATTAAGAACTTTCTAGGAAGCTTCCCTTCAGTAAGACTCTTGAAGAACCAAGGAAACCTGTTTTTTAAAAAGAGATACATGGGAAACCTGTTTTTTAAAAAGAGATACATGTAATGGCTATGTAACTATGTACGGGGCCAGGGGGGTACTTGAAACATCTGGGGGACACATTGTAAAGGACACGATTGTCTATTACGCTGTACACCTGGAACTCATACAAAATAATATTGAATGTAACCTGTAATTCAAAAACAGATTTTAAATTTTAAAGCAACACGAGCCTCTCCTTTCTCTAGACTGCTTTCATTTTCTTAAGGCATTTTCTCTCCCATTCCCAACCCCCCAACGTCTCGCAACTCTTCACTTTAAAATGAACAACTTCTATGATCCCGGTGCCAGATGTTCCCAGTTCCTGAGCAAACCAACAAAAATAGGCAAGCATCTTCCGACGATAGCGATAGAGGCCAACAACCTGCTTACTTCAGAGAAAAACTTTCCTTCTATCGCTGCAAATGCCGCAGTTATTTCTCTGCCAGATGTTTCCCACATTTCCAAACTGTTTTTAATTTTAAGACTTAGTTTTAAATTCTGATTTAATCTTCATAAACATGAGAATTAAAAACTTCTCAACACTGATGAATAAGTATCTGTATACCAGCAGTCGTCAATTAGGAATCCATTCATTCAACAAATATTTAATCAATGCCAACTGTGTGCCAAGCACCATTTTAGGATTCAGAGGCAAACTAGCCAGATAAGGCTCTGCCTTCAGAGTCTTCACAGAAGAGAGGGAGACAACGATTAAGCGAGCAAATGAGAAAATATCAGAGACAAAGGCTGCAATGAAAATAAGAGAGGTTGATGTGATGGTAACTGGAGACTACTTAAGATTAGGTGTTTATAAGAGGCCTTTCCAACCAGGTGCTAGTTAAGCGAGGTTGGTTGGCAAAGGACCAGACATGAAAAGATCAGAAGCCCGTTACGAATGGATTGAAGAAAACCAGACTGTCTGAAATCCTGTCCCTAAAGGTACCTTTGCTTGGGTGGACAATAAAATGGATGTTGGAAGTGTGAGCAACAGCAATTAACTAGATAGAGGGGGAAAGATGTCCCATATTTAGACCTTGTGACTTAACCAGTGTACTAAGAACTAAACTCAGAGAATAACAGAAATCATTGTATTCTGAGAGCCTCGTTCTATATTTGGCACAGGTACGTGGAAAGAATGAGTGGATGGAAGGATGGATGAAGTATAAAAAAGAGAGAGAGAGAGAACATTCTTGGCCACTAAAAGAACATCCCTGAAAAACTAACATTGATCATTCTGAAGTATGTTATTGCTGATTTGAGAATATGCTCTTTTGAGCTCTCTTTTTCTGTTCTTCTCTCACAAAAGTCATTTATTGGCACACCAGAAATATCATTTTTTTTCTAGTACAGTAGCTGTATGCATCTATGAGTGCAATTCTGTGTAATCTACTGTGCTACAAGTCAATAGAAATCTAATTAGCAGGAGGAATTTTATACGGAAAGGGAGTTTAACTATGAATCTACAGCGGCCTAGCCGTCGAGTCTCACTGGAGAGTAAATCAAATACCAAACTAGTGTTGCCCTGCAACAGAGTTTTTCTGTAGCCAAGAGAAACCAGGACGGACATAAACAAGATAGCACCCATTCCATAACTTAGGTACACACAACTAGAAAAACTATAACTGATAGATAGAACTAATTTATATAGAGCTAATCTAAATCAAGGAAGCACAAAACTAAATAATTAGCTATTTACATATATTATTTTTTTGTCAGAACTCTAATGTGTTAGCTTTCGCATCCTACCTCTTCCCTTTTATTTCTTTTTCTTGTTTTTTTGTTCATGGAAAATTTCTTGGCTCATTGGCAAATATTTAGACGACTAATCAGAACCTCTTTCTAGGTCCTACATTTTCTAAAATGTCATGTCAGACTAAAGAATCTGAAGGGTAGCTTACATGTCAGTATCTCTATCTAAAAGTAATAAGCATTAATATTTTGCTGTCACTCATGGCAATGACATGCAATTTCATTCTCTTCCAAATATGACTTGAACTACTCCAGAAAGTCAGGTGGTAAATGGCAGCCGAGTGGATGGACTTTTCACATCTGAGCAGGCACAGAGAGTCCCTGGAGAGGAGCATGTTTATCCTGAGAAGGTGAAAGCCACGGGCTGCAACTTAAGATCCCCCATGACTGAGGGTGGGTCCACCTCCCTCTGGCTACTAATTGTTTCCACATTCATTTTTAAGGCTTAGTATCATTGCAGCACTGACAAATAAGAACGCTGACACCATGTCTGCAAAGAAGGGCTCTGCACCGTAATTAAAACAGTCGAACGGTTGAAAGGCATTGAGTTGGTATGTTTATGGATTTGTCGCATCATTCTAGGGGATTTACAAGATCTTGCGAATGAGTCCCTCTCCCCCTTGGTTATTTCCTTTCTAGTTATAACAGTGTTATTAATTTATTTTTGGCTTGTCCTCCTAAGAGAATATAATCTCCGGGAGGGCAGAGATGACACCTGTGTATTCACCACTGTGTCTCCAGAGTCTAGAACAGTGCCTGGTCCATAGCAGGCTCTCAATGAAAAACTTGTATTAAATAAATGAATCAAATTATTAGGTCCCCTGGTCTGCTTACTTCTGGAGACCTAATTTCATTCAATGACCAGGGTTTCTGGCCTGTCCTAATGACCCGGCTACCCTAACGATTCTGCCCACTGTGAACCCTTGGGTAGCTGTCTAGCTGATATTTTTGTGCTTCAATGGATAGTAAAACTTTATTTTAAAAATATTTATTGTTGAAAGTAACACAGTTGTCCCCTTTTGACCTCTTCACATGTGGAGCCATGATTTTAAAACTTTATTTCTTAGTAATTATATATAGCAATAAGATACTCCGCTTGAAATTTGTTTGTTTATAGCAATTTCTACCCATCAAAACCCAACAGCTTTGATGCTTGAGTGAATTAGTTAATAAATGTTTAATGTAAATAGCACCAAGCTAATCATTTGGGGAAAATCAAGTGCAAGAAACAATTTAGTGGGGAAAGTAACAATTCATATGTGTATGTTTTTTATCTGATTCAAATTCTATGAGCTAAAGTAGTTAGAAAGGACCTGTAGTGTTAGTTGAAGTGTTAATCTTTAACGTAGAAAATAAAAATCAAGACAATTTATTTTGTTGTTATTAGTTAATTGAACTGTTTGTGCCCTTTCTCATAACACTGCTTTTCATTCTCAGGTAGCAACATTTACACTGAAAAAATTATTACAGCAAACTTATAATGTGACACCAGTTTATCATTTTGCAAGATAAGACAAGCTTTTTTCTATTATTTGAAATATAGTTAGTACTGAACCAATAAATCCCAGGGACATTTCCCCCCCAGGAGGGAGAAGGTGGTATACA